ACCCCCCCCCCCCCCCCCCCCCCCTCAGCACCTCTGGAGGATACATCAGTGTCAGAAAATATTTTTTCCTGGCACCCTCGGTGACGGTAAAAAAAAAAAATCGCACGTGTCCGTGTCCGTCCATCCCCCACCCCCACCCCTACGAACAGCTCATCGCCCCCCCCCCGGCGAAACAAACTGGTATAGAGATATTCATATGAAGACGCTTAGACCACTGTTTATGGCGGCGGAATCTCAATCTTNGGGGGGGGGGGGGGGGGGGGGGTCGATTCAAGAAATATCTCGGATGTACACTTGTTATGTATGGAGTCCAAATCTTGCCTCAAAATCTTGGCAAGATTTGGAATGAAACCAAAGAGCCCCCTTTTGCCCAAACATTTCGCCAAGATTTGGGCGCTGGTAGCCTTGTCAAAATCTTGCCCAGAGGGGGGGGTCAATAGCGCCGCACCGCCCCAGACCGTCCACATAATCAGCGCGTGCGACCTGAATTCTTGACGTATCGCTTCCATCAAGGGCTCCGACGAACCCTTTGGTGAAGGGTTTGCTGTTCCACACGTTGGTTGTTGGTTGTCGGTCGGGACACGAGGGTAAAAAAATCATTTCGCATCACACCAAACGTGGAGACTCCCAAACGTCACGAGAGGGCAACAAAGCCGAAAAAAGCCCGCGTTCTGACAGAGGCGCGACAACAGCGCAATTGATTTCTCGCTCCCTAGCCCACCGATTGACGCCAAACCGGTCAGGGTGTGCTCTCCGTTCCTTGTTCTCTCTCGGAGTGGCGTGGCTCAGGAGCTCGCAAGCTCAATCGACGGAAATCGTTGTCTGCGTGTGCGCACGCCATCCGTTGAAAAAAGTTTTCAGGTGTTCAACAAGTCAGTCTATTCGCAAGTGAATAACAAGGGCGAAAAAATCAGTTCGAAAAAGCAAAGTGACGCCACGCACAATTCTCTCTCCATCGATTGAGCTTGCGAGCGCCTGAGCCACGCCACTCCGAGAGAGAACAAGGAACGGAGAGCACACCCTGACCGGTTTGGCGTCAATCGGTGGGCTAGGGAGCGAGAAATCAATTGCGCTGTTGTCGCGCCTCTGTCAGAACGCGGCATTTTTTCGGCTTTTTTGCCCTCTCGTGACGTTTGGGAGTCTCCACGTTTGGTGTGATGCGAAAATTATTTTTTTAACGCTCGTGTCCCGACCGACAACCAACAACCAACGTGTGGAACAGCAAACCCTTCACCATAGGGTTCGTCGGAGCCCTTGATGGGAGCGATACGTCAAGAACTCAGGTCGCACACGCTGATTTTGTCGATCGAGGTGTCCACAACCCCCAAGTAAGTTCAAGATGCAGTTTTCGATACACACGTACATGCAATAATCTTGATCTTGGGGGGGGGTCGCTTTTATCTTGCCAAGGTTTTGAAGAATCAAGATCAAGATTTGTTTGCCAACAGTGGTCTTTATAGCTAGTTTGTACGTTACACTTTCTAATGTTCGGAGCTATCTCACATACTTCTAAACGCCAGAAAGGATACGGATTGTTTTATATGCATGTGTAGAGAGGACGGAACAGTTGTTTTGATGTGAAGACAACGACAACAATGTTTGCACCAACCATTAGTTGATTCGACACAGCATCGAAGGGACTTCTGTTTTTCGGCCAACCATAACCGGCCGAGACTTTGTTGTCATTCCGCTACTACAATGTCCCGAGGGTAGGGCGGGAGGGCGTCTTTTTCTGCGGCTTGCCATCGTTCTTTTGGGGCAAAACGGGAGAGATGGATGCGAGAGGGGTTCGAAAAGAGCGTTGTTGACCCGCAGCAGCACTGCTGCTTGTAGAGCGGGAGCGAGCGGTTTTCCGCGAACAGGTCCGGCCACCCTCTTGTGTCTAGCAAGAAACCTTCTATCCACAAAGCACCGATGGTCCCCCCACGCGAAGTGACCAGTTCTGCCTCAACCTTTACGATCCCCTGAATTTCCATGGTGTCCGATGATCTGTATTATTATTTCTGACGTGTCTGTCGTCATTGGCCCTATGCGTTTACGTGTCCGCAAGTCATGGACCCTACCTTCGGCGTTATACTTGCCATCCACCACCGGTACGCCGGTTTTGACCGATCGGGTCTTGTTTTGAGGGAATATGCATAAGTGTACGTAAACCTATACGATGGATCTACAGAAAAAAGTCTACCCGTTCTTCATGAACGGATTCAAACCTGCCCGGCCTCATGAGTCCTGCACTCTTCCGACATGATCGGTATTTATTATGGACGCTTAGGACGCGTCCGTCTTCGTCATGATCTTCGAAAGCGTGCCGGTCTTCCGTATATGTACGTACACATAGATCCTACTGCTGTGCCTTCCAGTCATCCACGGCAATCAGACAACAGCAGTATCCTCGGTTTCTCGGAGGGACTCGGCGCCCTGCAAGGTGTGCCCCCAATACAGCTAGCTGTTCGGGCGTTGAAGTTATTAGGAAAAAAAGACATTGAACGTATTGCCGGTGCAAGCAGTGGGGGATCCCTCAATAGTGCCGGTATGTGTCCGCTAACCTAGCTGTAAATACTAGTGGCACTCGTTAATGCTAGTCCCACTTGCCTATCTACTACTATGCATAGAAGCCACAGCCAAGGGAACGGGCTTGGAATAATCAGCCGGGAAGATGACCACGCTGCAGAGGGTTGAGACAACTAGTATGTTCCATCAGATAATCAGTGTGTCACGCGATTTCATCCGCGCTACTCGGGCCAGTGGCACTCTTCAACCGGCACCATTGAGGACTCCCCATGACCGTAATGAGCCGCCTTTGGCACTACGTACGTATGTGCATAAGAAGGAACGATTGCCCATCCGTGATCGGCCCGGTGGAATCAATTCTCCGTCCGTCCTCTCGAGGACGCGTGGTCAATATCGTCTGACAGCTTCAGGCATCATGAGTCCCCCCCCCCCCCCCCCCCCNCCCCCCCCCCCCCCCCCCACCTACGTTTACATGAATACACCCCCCCGGCGCCTCCCCCTTTCACCCTTCGTCCAGCTTAACCGAGAGAGCTCCCGGGAGGAACCGATGCGCCTGCGACCCGGGTTCTTAAAGCCTCAGACCTCCCCCCGCACAACCTCCAACGCCGGCACCCTCCCGACGAATGATGACGGGCGAGGGATCGACTACGGTCCGGCAGCGGCCGGCGGGGTGGGCAAGAGGCACAGCAAGAGCTCCCTGCCGCCGCGACGCAGCAGCTGCTACGGCGGCGGCGGCGGCGGCAACATCTCCGGCAGCGACGGGCGCACATCTTCGGGCACGAGCCAGACTTCAGTCGGGTCCCTGCTTTCGTCGAGGGGTAACTTGTCACCCACGGCGGGGGCCGGGGGTGGAGGGGAGGGACCCGTCGCCAAGCTCAGCGTCAGCGGGGGCAGAGGCAGCGGGGGCAGCTACCGGCGGCGAGCGGCCAGCACCCCCGTCACCCGCAGCGGCGGCGATCGCGACAGGCCGCCGTCACGCTGGAGCCGGAGGCGAAGAAGCGACGCCGTCGAGGTAGGAGAGGACACCCTAGCGCCTTCCGATGTTTTTGTCGTGGCGGCCGTTGACCTGGAGTTCGAGGGCCTGGGCGTGTTCCCCGGCCGCGGGGAGAGCTTCGGGTCGCCGGTAGGCGGCGGCGGTGGCGGCGGCGGGGCGGAGATCGACCCGGACGATGAGGAGTTGATGGAGAGAAGGAGGGGGGACGGGAACGGGGCGTCCGACGAAGAGGAAGAAGAGGAAGGAGGGGTTCTGGGCAGGCCTAGCGAGGAGTCGTGGACCGGCGGTCTGTCGGCGGACCCGCTGGGGGTGCGGAGGGGGGGCGATTTCTTCCCGGGAGGTAGCCCCGCGGTTTCCCCCGCTGCCGCCTTCGACGGCGAAGTCGTCATCGGGGGCAAAGAAGCCGCGGCAGCGGCGAAGCGCCGGCATTGTGCGAATCGCGTTTGCTTGAAGGCACCAACCGCTTCGCCGGACTTGGAGGGGAAGACGGGGGAGTCTGAAGGAGAAGAAGATGGCGCCCACAGCGGCGGCGGCGGCAGCAGCGTCTGGTGGTGGTCTCGGAGGCAGCCGCAGGAGGAACGAGCGGGGAGCGAGGGCGAAGGCCGCTGGTGGTTGCCGTTGCCCCGGCAGCCGGATGACGAGGACACCCCCGCATGGTGGTCGGGGCTGCGCAAGAGCAGCGCCAGCACCGACGGGGGCGGTGCCGGCGGTGAGGACGGTCGGCGGTGGAGCAGCCAGACCAGCCTCTTCGCCCAGGCCATCTCCGCCTTCTCCGCGATAGGTCCGGTCCCACCACCCGCCTCGTCCCCGACGGTGCACCCCGGGTCTGGTGTGAGCACCGTTACTGCCCAAGACGGCGGCGGCGGCGGCNTCCCCGACGGTGCACCCCGGGTCTGGTGTGAGCACCGTTACTGCCCAAGACGGCGGCGGCGGCGGCCGCAGTCCGGCGGCCGCCGTTGGTGCAGGAGCCGGTCCGGCATCGGCGGGGGGCGGTGTTTCAGGGGACGGCAGGGTCAGTGCCGAGCCCAGCACCGCCGCCAAGTTGGGCGGGGGCGTCCAGGCGTTGGCGGAGGGGCCGCGTGTGCTGTTAAAGCTGCCGTTTTTCTGCAAGGAGAACGGCACGGAGGAGATGAGAGCTGTGCTGGAGAACGCCGACCTGCGCGCCGGGTTCAAGCAGGCGAGAGAGAGAGAGAGAGAGTTGTGTGTTTGCCGCTGCTGTTGCTGTTGCTGTTGTTGCTACTGCTACTGATGATGCTGCTCTTAGGGTTGCCGTTGTTGCCTTGCCTTGCTGCTGCTGCTGCTGCTACTGCTACTAGTGTTGCTGTTGCCGCTGTAGCTGGCTGCTGTTAATAGGCGCCGTCGCCGCTGGTTTCGTCGGCTGCTAGTTCGCGCGGACACACCGACCGTGCTGGCGGCCGAGTACTTTTGCCTTCCCGCAGACAGTGTGGATTATGTGTTTGTGTCAGTATTGCCTGCCCTGCTGCATCATATCTTCTCCTAGTTCCTGCCTACCTGGTATACCCCTCCATCATCCGTGCAATTATTCACGAGTAGTGCTATTCGTGCACCCTTTACAACCCGCCCCCCCCCCTCCTCCCCCCATCTATTTTCCGTTTCCAACGTTCGCGTAAAAGTGATTTCCGCACCTTCGTAACTCGCTTCCCCCCCCCTTCCCCTCTCTCCAGTATTCGCGTTCTTGTACAAGTGTTGTTTTTCGCCCCGTTTGTAACTCCCTACCCCCCCTCGCCTCATCTCCTTGCCCTACCCGATGATGCAGTTCTTGGAGAAGAGATTATGCGCGGAGAACATGTTTTTTGTGGAGGATGTGATGAGGTGAGAGCGAGCATGATCATCCCCAAGAGCTCGCGTTGGCTCACTCGGTGCAGCCTGTCATTATTTGGCCAAACAGGCGCAATCATTCTCGACGCTGCAGCATGTACAGGCATGAGGAACATGAACCCGCCTTTCTTGCCCAAAAGAGAGAGAGAGGCAACGACCTACAGCAGCACCGAGATACACAAAATCGAAAAGCATCATTTCTAGTGTTCGGCGGCTGGGCGGCATTTGGCATTGCGTCGACGAGGTCCTATCATTTGCCTGCACATGCCCGCAGATTCTCAGGCCGATCGATCGGTCTTAAAGTCGACCTTGCCCGTGCTCGCTGCTCGCATCGGGCGGGCCCCCCTATCTTTTCGTTGCGCCGCGTGGTCATGACCACTTCATGTGTTGCGGCATGCCACGGGGCGATAGATGTTGCACCTACCTATGGTGATGAACCTCCTCCTCAACGGTTTCTATGTTCTTGTCACTAGGGTTCATCTCCATCCACATCTAAGGCGCGCAAGCCTCTAGGCTTTTAGCCAGAACTGATGGTGTCCAAGCGAAAGGCGTCCTTATTTTGCACCATGTCGGCCACTTCCAGGAGTGCAGCAGCTGTATGCGTAACCACTTGGGAACAAGCTGAGGGTTGGTGAAGAAATTCAGGCTCAACACATCCCCTCCGACAGTACAGTAGTGGTTTTATTTCGAACGGGAGGTCCTTCGGTGATCTTCGTACCCAGTGTATTGTAAAATGTTTCTTGACCATATGAACAGCAGGCCCGTCAGTCCAGAACCCTACAGCTACAACCTTGAATAGTCCGCTGCTGCTGTTGGGTTTCCCCCCATAGAGAGCAACGAACCTCGTGTCAAAGAGGGATCCTTGAAGCGGTGCCGCTGCATGGGCCGTTGACGCATCACGGCCTCTGCCCAGTACCCTTTGGAGGGTTTTTCTGTGAAGGACACATGTTGGATAATGTATGCAATTTGGGGAAGTTGGGTGATACGGTTAGACGGTCCCTTCTCCCTCACGATCCTTCGATGCCTCCGAACACAGGTATCAGGAGATGGTGGTCGCAGAGGATGCGGAGGGTGTGTCTGGGCCTGCTGCGGCCCTGCAGTTGGGCGGGGAGATCGAAGAGAAGTATTTGTCGGAGTCCAGCCCACTAGAGGTGCGAAGCGAGTTTTTTTGGGGGTTGGTCGACGCTGGCGCAAGGGAGCCGTTTCGCAATGGTCTGTTGGGCTTGTGTCTCTGACTGCCTCTCTGTGTTTGACTCTCATTCTCTCTCACTGTGTTCTCTCTGTTTGAGAGTGTCTCTCTGTTTCCCTCTCACTGTCTCTATTTGGGAGTGTTTTTCCTCTGTCTGTCTGTCCGTCTCTCTGCCTGTCTGCCTGTATGTATGTATGTATGCATGTATGTATGTATGTATGTATGTGTGTGTATGTGTGTGTACAAGGACGCTTCGCGGCGTACCGCTTCGCGGTCGCCGCTACGCTCGTAGGTTCAATGGCGATGGCAAGTGTGTGCGGGTGGAGTCTCGGAATGAGAGAAACCAAGAAGAAATGCCGCGAAGAGGGAAAAAATCGATTGTATGTTCGAAGAGCAGAGACAAACAATGAATAATTTCGTATGTTACGCGACACAGCCGGAGGAGGACAGAGAATTAATTTACTCGGAGCGAGAAATTTGTTTTCAGAAACAAAGGCTCACTTTCCACGGGAAACAGTAGGGAACAACATAAATAGTAGATAGCTCAACCTGGGCCACACGAAAGAATCAACCCCTCAAGAAGAAAACAACAGAGGAGGANGGGGGGGGGGGGGGGGGGGGGGGGGGGGGGGGGGGGGGGGGGGGGGGGGGGGGGGGGGGGGGGGGGGGGGGGGGGGGGGGGGGGGGGGGGGGGAGGGGGGAGCGAGTGAGTGTGTTGAATAATTAATAAAACTTGAGAAAGATACATCAAGTAAACAGCCTGCTTTGTTTTCTCCCTCTCCTCCCCCTCCCATGTGCTACCCACCCCTCAGCGAGGCGTTCCTTGTAGCTGAATAAAGTTCCCTCCTTACAGGGTGTGTGGTCTTCGTACGTATGTAATCTGATGCACAGCCGTCGGTGGTGAAAATCGGGGTCGGTTTGAGTGCGGGAGGCGAGGAAAAGCCGCACAAATCATTACACGGTAGTTTTTCCTGCACGTTGTGTGTACATGCAGTAAGCGAAAGCAGAGAAAAGTTGACAACTCTTCGCCGACTAGTGGAAATACGGCCAACAACCCACCGCAGCAGCAATATTGCTATATGCTCTGCCGGAGGGTTTTGGGAGTCAGATGACTGTAGAAGGAGTTCATGTGTTGGTGGGATGCGGAGCATGTCGTCCCTGTAGCCGCTCTACACAAAACTGCCGCTGTGGCGCCATTGCTGTGGGTGGCCAGACTATGTTTGTTTCCGACAAAAAATATGGAACAATAGTTCCTCCATGGAACGAAGGAACAAACAACGTATTCCATGCCGATTTTTTTTTTTCTCGGGCGGGTGTAGTTTTGCAGACAGCTGTGCGCACGACACCG